TCTGGGAAGCAGCAGTGGTCTGCAGTGGTAAAGACCTATGTCTTACATTACTTCATAGCATCTGACCACTGAGGATGAAGCTCTCAGAGAAGGGATAACACGTGTCACAGTTAAGGAAGTGAGGAATGTTCAAGCTGTGTGATAGAGCATTTTGTTTCTAACTGCACAGAATAATATAAAGGGAGAGTCAACAAAGGAAGCCCCAATGCCTTTTTTTTTTCATACAGAATGAACAGACAGTATTTCTATGACTACAGTAAAAGAGTCTTATGACTTGCAGTACAGCTGAGTTCTCCAAATACCAAAGTTGGCAACTGATTGTGCAGGTTGCTGAATTCACGGCCCTGCTGCACTTTGTGAAGTTAGGCATTAATAGGGTGCGGGACTGTGACAAGTGGAATGATCATCTGAGAGATGTGGGAGAAAATCGAAAGCTCTCTAAAACACCAGGTGCAAATAGTTCACACTTTTTCTTACAGGAGAAAGCTCACAATTTCCTGCTTTGCCCCATCCCTCAAGGGTACTTAGCTGGAAGGTGGGGATCAGTTTGGCCTAAAGCATGACAAGTAGACACAGTAGGTAAAAATCCTGGACCTATACAGAATTGCAGAAACTTCTTAACTGACACCATCAAAAATTTGGGGAAATACCTGTGGAAATGGATTTTTGTGGTGTTTTATCAAGGAAGGGGGAATGTAATTTTGGCTCAGGCTGATCTTCTTGATACGGATTCACTTACCAGGGATTATTTGGCATTCCCTGTGCTAGCTCCAGGAGCTGGCAAGGCTCTAACAAAATGCAAACTTAAAACAAATGCTGGCCCATGCGAAATGGAATTTAAGGGCCCCAAATCCCTTGGCATCATGTAGAGGAAGGGATTCAAATATTTCTGAAGACAGAATGCTGGATTGCATCTGTTTTGTGCCTCATTCCCACAAATACCTCTAACTGTAGCCCTCACACTTTACCCTTGCTTTGAGGAAAGTCAAGAATGCTGGGTGGAGAGGCTGCAATTTGAAATAGTTTGCCTGATTCAGAGGGGAAGAAGAATGCAAAGATGTGGGAGGCCAGGCGTTGGCACTTCGTCCTCCGAAATGAAGTGGGAATGATCATTGTAATATTCAGTAGGCTCTGTATGAGGCAAGAACTCATGGTGTAGTGTTACAGGCTGAAAGAATGAGGGTCGTGATCAACTCAGTATACTACTGGAGGCTATATGAGTAACCAGTAAACTGTTTCTCATAAATGCAGAATGTTGGCAAACTGACAAACTGCATCTGTCACCCAGAAGGAATGCTGAGGGCTGTCACGCCCCAAGCATAGTGTTTCTTATGAATAGGTACATCTGAAGCCTGTTAGTAACAATATGAACCTGTGATCAGTTAAGCAACTGACCAGTCGTTACCTCCTCCTCCCTCCTCTTGTTACCCAATAAATAGGAGGGGCTGTGGAAGCTCAGGGGCTGCCTTTGCTCACTAGAGGCAGGGAGCTCTCTTCTTCTTCCCATGGCCCCTTCCTTTAAAACAGTTTCTTTTATCTTAAGTTTTCATTTTTATGTTCCTCCCTTCATTCAGTCTTGTAATGACGTCTCAGGCAGTAACAGTAGTAACTGTAGTAGTGACTGTCTCAAGTAGTAACCATGGCAGACTGCCACAGTGTAGGGCCCTAAAAAGTTAAAGGCAGCCCACTAAAGTCTTACTTGATTTGTTTAACCAGCAAAACATAAGAAACAAAACAAAGCAAGACAAAAACCAAAAACACTCTCCAGTTCTGGCAAAAATAAAAAAGTCACGACTTGAGCCACTATGATAGTTACAGATCATCACCTAACACTGGGCTTGCGTTTAATGATCTAAAGCCCTTTGATTGAAGGATATGCTGCTCGCCTTTGAGGAAGGACTCTGCTATTCTACATGAGTGTAATGTAACTATTTCTCTTGCCTTCTCCAAAAGGATCTGTGGCAATTTCCCAAGGTAACTGGATACTGGGGAAAGGGAAATACCACATTCAGGGAACCCTGATGAAGACTTCGAGCTAATATCAGTTTCTTGGGTTCAAGAGTACCACTGTAGGTCCATCTCATGTGAAAAATCGTGTTTTGGCTTTTGTCCATGCCACTGGAGGCCCAGAGGAATTCCAAAACTATTCTGTATCAGCAGTTTCAGAGAGATAATTGGAAAAGATCCCCTATTGGCTCTCTGACCCATGAAGTGAGGGCCATTGTGATATAAAAGGCCAATAGAATCCAACTGAACAACTGTTTCAAAATAGAAAAGTCAACGATAGTAACATATCTTTAGGGGAGGCTGCAAAAATTAGTGTTTCTACCTTGCAGGCTGATGACTCCAATTAAAACACCATTAATTTCCTCTGTCTGATAGGTGCAAAATTAGATGGGTCTTGGAAAATGACAGTGGATTATTTTAGTCAGGTGATAATTCCATTTTTAACTGTTGTGTTAGATAAATGCTCATGATTACAGTCCCTGGAGTCATGCATCTACTGGTTTCACTCTCTACTCTGAGGAACAGAAACCACTGGAAGCATTTTGCTATTACCTAGAAGGGATAAGAGTTTTCATTTACTGTTCTAACTCAGGCATACCTCTGTTCTCCAGCTCTGTACCAGAAAGACCTTGATTCCCCGAATATCCCTATTCTAAGAGACAGCAAACTAATTTTGCTAAATCAGTTGACTAAATCACATTAACAGGGCCTGGAGAGCACAAAGAAGCAGACACTTCAGCTCTGTAGGTAAGACACACGTTTTGCAAGGTGGGAGATAAATACAGTGCATCTCAGTGAAGTTTCTTAGAGTGTCCAGTACCCTAGACATATGTGTAGTACTTCTGTCACCACAAAAGAAGTACAATGCTATTTGGATTTTGTTGGTTCTACTGCTATCAGATCCTGGCTTGCTACTGGGCTTTGATGGTGAATGAAGGCCTAACTATAGGACATCAGGTAATCTTATGACCCAATGTGACCAACTACGATCGATCATCCATCCAGATAGAAAGTCAAGCATGCCTATAAGGACTCCATCATCAAGTGTATCCATGGGTACATGGGATTTGGCTCACGTAGACCCTAATGATGTAAGTTGATTGCATGAGAAGTTTGCTTTCAATCAAGTTGCCTGTTTTCTGATTAAACCCAATGACCCACTTGCAAATCTATTGCTTCCTATCCCTATGACTCTGAGTTCTGCTTACTTAGAGAGACTGTCACCTGGACTTTCTGAGCTTTTCTTTTCCCTAGGTGTGTATAAAGGGAGTTACAATCTTGATTAGGGTAATCAACCACCCTGTCAAGGGGAAATACGGTTACTGCTACACAAAGTAGGCAGAAAGGAATGCAAGTAACTCCATGGAATTCCTTGGGGAATCTTCACATGCCAGCAGGACTAACAAGTGCTCAGATTCTCTACGAATAAAGGTTTAGGTCACCCCATCAAACAAAGAATCCCAACCAACTAAAGTGCTGGCCAAAGGCAGGGGGCATGACATGGTTCACAGAGAAGCGATGTTATAAATGCCAGCGGCAGCCTTATGACCATTACAGAAATGAGGACATAGCAATGACCTCTTTTCCTCCTTGCTGTGTTTTTCTTTTCCTTTCCTCTAGTATATATAGGGTATGCTGGTGGCAGTTACATTTACTATTTATTCCTTATATTACAGGATACTGAGACAGAATTAGTGGTACCAGTGGAAGAATGAACTTATAGCTGTATTCATGAACAGGATATGCCCCATAGGGTGTCTTTCCTTTGGGGAGATCAATATATTTTGGTTATATATAAGAGAGTTTCCTTATGTTAGAAACATGCATAAATCTGTGTGTATGGGAAAAGGATGGGAGTGTATGGTATGCTATTTTTTCCTATTAATACCTTTTGCCTTTATTTTGGTGACAATACGTGGTCTTTTCTTTGGGTAAGTACCTTTCCTCCAACTGCTGCAAATACGAATACGGTACCTTGCCCTCCATCCCTCCCAAGAGAGAGGCATATGACTCAAGTGAAATCAGACTCTCTCCTGGGATTGGAACTGTGAGCAGGATGATACAGGGAAGAAAGGTGACTGGAGGCAGATCATGTGGGTGGCAGTGTTTTAAACAGAAGGTTCATGAGTCTTGCTACTGAGGTCCCTAGAGCTCCCCTCATTCCTATATTTCCTGAGGTCTCGTCAGTCAGCTATTCCTTTGATCAGGTGAATTTCACAGATACCCTTCTGTAGTGGGCCAAATGGTGGCCCCAAACATATGTCCATATTTTAATCTCTGGAACCTGTAACTGTTACCTTATTTGGGAAAGGGTCTTTTTGCAAATGTGATTAAGTTAGGGATCTTGAGATGAGGTCATCTTGGATTATCCTGGTGGGCCTAAGTGTCATCAAAAGTGTCCTTGTAAGACAAAGGCATTGGAAGATTTGACATACACAGACAGTGAAGTGAGATCAGAGGCAGAGACTTGAGTGATGCAGCCACAGCCAAGGAAAGCCAAGAATGGTGGCAACCACCACAAACTAGAAGAGAAAAGGAGAGGGTTTCCCCCTAGAGCCTCTAGAGGGAGGGTGGCCCTGCTGACATCTTGATTTTGGATTTCTGGCCTCCAGAACTGTCAGAGAGTACGTTTCTACTGTTTTACGCCATCAGGTTTGTCTGAGTTTGTTACAACAGCTGCTGGAAACTAATATATCTTCCAATAAATTCATTTTTTGCTTAATGTCAGTTGCTTTTGCTTATACCCCAAACTCTAATTGTTAACAGTTATTCATCACTTTAATTATTCAATAAATTATCCTTTTTGACCAAGTTTGTTCCAACTGAATTCCTGTCACTTGCAACCTGTTCTGGCTGGCATAACCACAGACAAAGTCTGTGCCAAATCCAGGACTGGAGCCTGAGAATGTGGATTCCAAGTCACTCCACATATTACCCACCCTCTCCAGTCACTCAGGCAGCATGTCAGGGAGCCATCTCCACACAAGCAGAAACACGTCCTGGGGCCCAGCTCTTTATTTGCATAACGGTTTTCATTGATACATGGGAAGGGGAGCGAGTTGTTGCTTTTCTGCCAGGACCACAAACAGCCTCACAGTGGGCTCAGGCCAGATGGTTCTCTCTTGAGCTTTCTCCACACCAGTATCAGGGACCTGTTCGTAGGGTCAGAAAATTTGGAAGCCATCGGGTTTCTTGGTGTGTTCGGCAAGACCATAAGGGTGGTACATGCAGCCCTTCTGATCTGCCCCTAAGCTGGGTTCAGCTGGGCCTTGATGTAAGGAGCAGAGTGTGCAGAAGGGCTGGTATGTGTGTGGTGAATTCATGAGAAGCCCTTTCCTGCTTAGCTCCATCCTCTGTTCCAATCTGGAGACCCAGAATCCATTCATATGTAGGGGGCCAACTATGTACTAGACCCTGTGTATGACACACACGTGCCATTCTCTCTGCTTGGAGTACTCCCCCCTGGAACCCCATTTGCTTAATTAGCAATTTATCATTTGGATGGCAGGTTAGATTGTCACTTGCTCAGGAAAGCCTTCTCACTTTCTCAGGCCATGGTCCCTGATACATCATACACACCCGTACTTAGTAGAGCTCACTATGATATATTTGTGTGATTATTGCATTAGAGTCTATCTTCCCTACTAGTCAGTAAGCTTCATGAGTATAGGGATATATTTTTCCACCACTGTATCTCTTGAGACTAGTAAGCAGTCCACAAGTCAGAAGCCAGTAAATCAGAGTGGCTGGGCATAACAACAGCGTGTGCGTCTGTCTGTGGGTGGCAGCGGGGGAGACACTATGGGGAACCTGAGAGCGCATGCCTCACGCAAAGGCATTCAAATTCTTAAAATATAATAAAAGTACTGTTGGACTAAGCCAAAACATGACTGCAGGCCACACATGAAGCCCCAGTTTAAGACTCTTCCAACGAGTATTTGTTGAGTAAGCAAGTAAAGAACCTACAAGGAAGATACTGTAAAAATTTCAAGAACCAAGCAGGGACGGGGCAGGCAGAGCTGAACGGACCTCCTTTTCAGTCTTGTTCACACCTTTTTGAGGGCCAGGTCTCTCTCTGGCTATCTTTTTTCCCCCTCTGTGCTTGGCACCCAGTGGGCTGTAGGAATTATCTATTCAACATTTACCAAACACCTGCTCTGCACCAAGCCCAGAGTTCAACCAGACAGTGTCTTCCATCTTGAGGCTCAGGGTGATGGGACAGAGACAGCCACAGTCAGACAACAATAGCACAGTGCTGGGTGCTGTAGCCACAGTATGTGGAAAGGGCTACTGGACCCCCTCCTCTGAGTTTCTCAGCAAGTGGAGAGAAGATTCGGCAGATGGGTATGAGAGATATGCCCCCAACAAGGATGACGGGGCTGGAGCTGGCCAGAAGGGACAAGACTCTCACACATGGGCCTGGATGGGTACTCTAGGTAGGGCTGGACAAGGTAGGCTGGACGTTTGTGGACGTTTGTGTGACGGGCAGAAAGGAACTGCCAAGGTCAGGCTGCGGGGGGAGGGTCTGGGAAGCCAGTATTCATATATGTCAGCCCTCTGCCAACAACATTTCAGAGCTGAGCCGGCTTTAAGTTAAGAGACCCCTCTGCGCTACTTGGCTTTCATTGCCCTCTGGGTCATAGATTCTGACCGTTTGACGGAGAGGCTGGAATCTGGACTTGGGGGCAGGGATTGGACCACTTTTCACAGCAGGTCTTGGTGCAGCTAGGTCGCCTAGGCCTCAGGCCAGGGCCCCTTCAGAGTTTCTTTCTCTCACATCATCCCTGGGAGGAAGACTGGAAGATTATTGCTTAGCAAATCTTGCATACCAGCTAAAGAGGCAAGTACAATGCTATTGTACTTCCTCCCAGGACTCATCCTCCTTCCCTCCAGGACTCATCTTTGAGAGCTGACTCCTGTTGGATGCTCCTAGAAAGGAACCACAGCTGAGATCCAGAGCTCCTATATCCAAATCTCCTGTCTGGACCTTTCTCTGGCTCTGAAAGGGATTTCTGACCTTGTGGATCAACTCTGGGGATCCATGAATCCCCAAAACCCACATGCAAACTTCATGAGGGCAGAAGAAAGATGGAGTTGACGGATCATTGCTCCAGGCCCACCGACAAGCCCAGATTCCAAACCTGACTCTGCCACTTCTAATTGTGACATCTGGGAGAGGCATTGCTCATCTGTTAGCCTCGGTTTCCTCATCTGTGAAATGGCGATAATTATCTTTCTCCAACACAGGGCCAAACATGACCTGGCTCATGTACAGGAGGTGCTCAGGAATCATTAGCATCCTTTCAACTTCCTCCCTCTGGCTCATGCCTGCTTCATGAATGGCTTGGAGGAAGGTTTATAAAGCTTTCTGAGTTGCTCGCAGAATCTCACAGAATCTAGGATAGCACTGTCCTGCCCTGGACCTTTGGAGGAAGGAATGGAGGAAGGAATGCAGCTTTTGAATCTCATTTCTCAGGACAGCATGAATGATCTTGAGAGGCTCACTACCATGAAGAACTTTAGCAGGGGAGGAATCTCGGCTGTCTCAGCTGACTGTAGGGGCATGGCAGGGGGTCACGGATCCCTGGTTTTAATACATCTGAGGGTGTGGAGGCTCACTGGGGGCCTGGGTCTCTAGATCTGCAGACCGTCCCTCCTGAGAGGTTTCTCGGGATGTCTCCAGAGATGCCTCCGACACCCCATCAACGCTGCTCAGCAAGTCCTCAAACTCCTGGTGGTTGCTGTTGCGCACGGCTGCCTCCAGAGCCTTCTGGCGCCGGTAGAAGTGGGAGAACTTGTTGAAGATGATGGTGATGGGGAGCGCTACCACCAGGATGCCCCCTAGGATGCAGCCTGAGGCTGCCAGCTTGCCAGCCACCGTCACTGGCACCACATCCCCATAGCCCACGGTGGTCATGCTCACTGTGCCCCACCACCAGCAGGCTGGGATGGTGTTAAAGCCCACGTCCTCCTCCTTTTCAGCTGTGTAGGCCACACCAGAGAACACTGACACACCCACGGCCAGGTACAGCAGCAAGATGCCCACCTCACGGTAGCTGTGCTGAAAGAGAATGTAGAAAGCCAAGTCAGAGTGGATGGGCTTAGAGTCCTGGTATTAGGCATATAGGGAAAGTGAGGCCCAGAGACTATAAGGGACAGGTTCAAAGTCAGAGCAAGATAGAGCTGGTGCTAAGACCCAGGTCCCCTGACTTTAAGATCTTTGAACTACAGCTGGCAGCAAAACTCCCTGGTATTGAGCACAGGCCTAATTTCTATTGTCCAAGGTATCTGCTAGGCTACAGCTGTTTTTTCTAACTCTGGGTTACTGGTGGCACCACAGCCAGGGAATGAAGAGCTTGTGACTTTTACACTGTTGCGGAACCAAGACAACCATAGTTTATATTCTACAATGCAAAGAGTTGGTTTCATGTACTTTTGGCTGATCTGAAAAGTATAAAAATGTCTTTTGCTCCTCCAGGAAGCTGAGAGGACATAAGTCCCCTGGACCACCTACAGAATTCACTTTCCTATGGCCGTGTATGTTTGCTTTGTCCCTGAGGCCAAGCTCTAGGGCAGTGATTTCAAACAGGGTGGTTTTGCCCCCCTCCCCTCTACCCCTGCAAGGGACATTTGGGAATGTCTAGAGACATTTTTGGTTGTTGCAACTGGGACAGGTGTGCTACTGTCCTCTAGTGGGTAAAGGCTAGGGATGCTGCTAAATATCCAAAAATGTACAGGGCAGCTCCCAAATCAAAGAATTACCTGATCCCAAATGTCAGTAATGCAAGGCTGAGAACCCCTAGTCTAGAGCAGACTCTCTCCAACTTTAATGCGTGGAAGAATCATGCAGGGGTCTTGGCAGAACCCAATTGTGTAGTCTTGGGTAGAGCCAGAGAATCTACATGTCTAGGAAGCTTCCAAATGATGAGAAAGCTGCTGGTGGGCAGGGGCCTCACTTTGAGTAGCAAGGCTCTCATCTGGAGTATTTTACACCTGCATCTTAGACCCTGGCAGCCCTGATCAGTAATACTCTTCTCCCCTACTGAAGACAAAGCTAGTAGTGTCGGGCCCTGGCTCTCTGCATGGAGGAGATAGGGCAGCGTTCTGGGGCACAGGGATCTTCCCTGGGGAGATGCTGAGCTCAGGGGGTCTGGCGAATGTAATTCCTTATACCTGCCCAGTGCCCTAGGATTCTGCCTAGGTCATCTGCCAGCACCCAGTATCCTGAGGGCATACAAGAGGCTTTACTAAGCCTTGGGTGGAAGGGATCTTTCTTTTAGCATTGTCTGGGGATTATCAGCAGGGTTGCGTGGAGTTTTAGGAGAAAGAACATGAGGTGCTGGAGCCAGGCACAGCTGGGTTCTTCTCTGGGCTCTACTGCTTATTGAGGAACCTCCAACAAGCACTGTCACCTCTTGGAGCTTCAGTTTCCACATCTGCAAAGCAGTGACAATAACACTTACCTCTGTTTAAACCTCTCAGGAACTCTCCTATACCCTCGGGACCAAGCCCAAAATCATGTGCCAAGACTTCACGGCCCTTCGGTATCCTGCCCAGCTCACCTCTTCAATCTCATCTCTGGGAATCTCCTTCCCTCCATGTCCTCCTCCCAGCATTCATCCTGTTCTCTCTCCAGGCCTCGGCACACGCCGTTCGCCTTGCCTCCCTCTTCAAACCAGGCTGATTTCACCCCCTTGAGCGCAAGTTTGCCAGGGCAGTGATTCACCCACAATGCAGCACCTGGCACCAGGAGGATGCTCAGTAAACTGCAACCAGGCTTTAAAGAGCCAACCCTCCAACCTCAGCTTCTTCATCTACGGGAAGAGAATAAATAATAGCATCTTCCTGAGGAAGTTCTCCTAAGGACTAAATTGATAATGGATGTGAAATTGGCACAGATTGAGTGCTCAGTAAGTGTTAGCTCCTGGGGCTATTCCTAGACTTTACCTATTAAGAGTGACCTATGATTATCAGAGCCCCGATAGTGCCAGAAGAAAGGCTCTAGCAGAAAGTCAGCATCCTGCTTGGCACATCTTTATGATACATATAATTTGATGTTTGATAGATATATCAAAAGTGATCTTTGTCTTTTTTCTTTGTTTTGAAAAAGAAAGACAAGCAAAGCTATGCCCCAGTTTTCTCCCTAGGAAAAAGGTAAACCCTTCTTTACAGAGCTATTGGGATAATCAGACTGCATGTGAAACATACACCTGGTGTCCAGCCCTGTGCCTGGCACAAAGGACGGGGTCTCAGTTCAACGTGCGCCTGGACTTGGGAGGCTTGTAAGTTTACCTGCTAACCTGCCAGATGGCTACACCCGCCTATCCCCGCTCCAACCTGGCCTCAAAGGCCGTACCTTGAGTGTGGCTCCCAGCGAGCGCAGCCCGGTGGAGTGGCGCGCCAACTTGAGTACGCGGAAGATGCGCATGAGGCGGAACACCTGCACCACCTTGCCCAGGTGGCCGAGCTCCTTGCCGCCCGTGCCGCCCTGGTCGCCCAGTGCCACACCAGCCAGCAGCGTGAGATAGAAGGGCAGCACAGACACAATGTCGATGAGGTTGAGCGGGTGGCAGAAGAAGTTGCGCGTACTGGGCGCCAGCAGGAGGCGCGACGACACCTCAAAGCTGAACCAGGCGATGCAGAAGTACTCGAGGCGTCGCAGCACTGGGTCGTCGCGCACGCCTTCCGGGCTGCGGCCCGCGGCCACCGCAGCCACGGCGGCCGCCGCCTCGCGGGCCTGGTACTCGGGCAGGCTGTGGATGCACATGGCGGCGATGGAGGCGAGCACCACGCTGATGGAGACGCAGCTGAAGAGCTTGCTCGGCAGCGAGTAGCCCGGGTTCTCCATGGTCAGCCAGAGGCGGCGGCGCAGGCGGCCACAGCGCGCCGCGCCATAGCGCGCCAGCTCTCGCTGCACGTCGGAGATCTCGTCGGGGCATGGGTCCACGCTGCTCGGCGTGTCGCTGTCCTCGTCCCAGGCGCACGGCTGGGTCAGCCGCCTCTCCAGGTAGCGCGCGCGGCAGCACGCGGCCAGCGCGTTCTCGCCGAGGCCCCAGTAGTCGGCCTCCTGGCCAAAGGCGAAGACGCACAGCTCGTCGAGCACGTGCAAGTGGCCGGTGCGGTAGAAGTGCAGCAGGCCCAGGAAGAAGCCCGGGTGCCGGTCGAAGTAGAATTCGCGCGCCGCCGCGTCGTAGTCGTCGCACAGGCGCCGCGCCTGCTCCTCCGACGCCGCGGCCTGCAGGCGGCCCAGCCGCGTGCCCGGGAAGCGCGCCAGGGCTCGCGCGCTCAGCAGCCGCCGCACGCCACCCACGTTCACGCGCAGCGCTTCGTCGCTTTGTCGCCAGCGGATCCCGGTGTCAGGGCTCGGGCACTCGCTCACCAAGGCTTCAGTGCCCCTCCCTGCGGACACCAGAAGGGCGCGCTGAGGAGTTCCTGGGCTTCCCTTCCAGGAAGACCAGGTTAAAATCCCCTCCTCCATCCAACCAGCCAAGGGGTGTTGGAGACTCTGTGTGAAGCATCTGGTATGCAGGAGGCGCTCAGTAGGTGGCAGGTGCCCTCTGGACTCAGAGTCAGGCTTGGCTTTGACTATCCTTCATCCCCATCATTTGACTTTGGTCAAATCACTGACCCACACCACCCCCATTTCATTTTTCTCCTTTGGAAAATAAATGCTTAGATCTACCTGGAAGGATAGGAAAGCAATGGAATCGCAGGATGTCCTGGCACCTAGTGGGTGCTCAATAGGATGTCTCCTTTTCCAGGACAAACTTGGATTTATTTACAGCAAAGTTCTACTGTGGGATCTGGGGCCCTCCAGCCCTCTGAACCTGTTTCTTCTGCAAAATGAGGATAGTAACACTTACCTCCTAGGGGTGTTGGGAGCACCACTTTAGACCGGAGGCTCTCATAGTGTGTTCCCCGGACCAGCAGCATCAGCATTACCTGGGAATTCGTCAAAGATGCAAATTCTCAGCCTGTCATCGATTTACTGAATCGGGAACTCTAAGGCTGGGATCTAGCAGTCTGTGTTCTAACAAGATTGGAAAGTGATTCAGATACATGGTCAAGTTTGAGATCTCCTGCTTTAGCTTATGTAAAACATCTGTAGAGTCAGCCAGACATGACCTTGAACCTTGGCTCTCTGTGTCACCTTAGGCAAGTCACATCACCTCTCTGAGCCTCTGTGAAATGGAGATAAAAATACTCACCTCAAAGTGTGGTTATGAAGATAAAATGACCTAATGTCTTTCTTGGGCTTGGCTAACAGAAGGAATTTAATAAATTATTCACTGGTGTCACTATCTTCTGGAGTCAGGCAAACCTGGGTTTATCTCCACCCCTGATGCACCTGGGGACTTGAGGAAGCTATTTATCCTCCAGGTCTCAATTTACTGCACATCGTAGACAATAGCACCTACCTCCGGGGATGACTGGAGGATGAAGGTAGATTATAGAAAGTGCTTAGCCTTAGTGGATACTCAGGGAGGATTTAGGTTCTTCTACCACCCCCTGAATCCTGGCTCTGCTGGAATTGGAGGCTAGTGACACATCCTCACCACTGGCAATCTCATTTGCATTGTGGGTTCAGTAATGCCTAGACTAGGGATTAAGTGTGTGTAAAGCACCTGGGCTTGGCGTTAAATGAATTTGGGGTTCCACCCTTAGCTCTGTTACTATTAGCTCTGTGACCTCAGGCCAGTCTCCTTCCCATTCTGGGCTTTAGCTCTTTTACGTCTAGAATGGGGGTAATGTTGCTTTGGATGAATCATTATTGTGGTATCTGTTCAAAGCCCTGGGTAAACAGTAGATGCTCAATAAATGTTAATCCCGTGTACTACCCTCTGGTCGGACCTGAGTCTGCCACTTACTAGCTGCTGACCTTGAGTGCATTCGTTGCCCTCTCTCTGGGCTTGTTTCCCTATCTGTGGAACCGAGTAGCATCATACTTTCCAGGAGAGGCTCAGAGGATTAAATGATGCAAGATGTTGATTGCCAGCATGGTCCCTGGCACATAATCAATGCACAATAAACATGTGTGATGTAGCTCCACTCCCACCTCCACTTGGATCTCCACCTGCATTTGGCATCAAAAAATGAAATTTCTAATCCAGTTCCATCACCCATTAGAAGCATAATATTGGACAAATCCCTTTGTCCATCTGGAACTCACTTTCCTGCTCTGTGAAATGGGATAATTAATTCAACAAACATTTTCTGACAAGAACCTGAAGATCAGTAAGAAAGATTAAGTGACTTGTTCAAAATCACCCTGCTAGTCCATGGCACAGCTAAGGTTGGACACCAGGTTTTTTTCATTTCATTCTCTCTCCACACACTTATTTTGAGCACCTCCTATCTGCTAGTCACTTCTCTGGGCTCCATGCACACCTCACTTGGTTTAATCTCTACACCAACCCTGCCAGGGAGGTTTTCTAATCCCATTTTACAGATGAGTAAACTGGACCAGTCCGGGTCTCCAAAGCGCGGCCACCCCACACTGCTTCCTCCTTGCGGGGTGGGAGGTCTCTTAGAGGGGGTAAGAGCACCAGGAACCCCAGGCAGCCCCGCCTCCCACTCTGGCTGCCCCGGACCATCCCGGAGCCACGTCCCTCCCCAGAGGAGGCCCCTTACCTGTCGTGGCACCTCCCGGGCGCCTCCTGTGTCTGTCCCAAAGTCACCGAGTCTGGGGGCCGCTGGCTATACTCGGTCTCGCTGCTGTCCCGCCGGCCCCGCAGAGCCTCCTACTGCAGGCGGCCCCGCTGCCCTCTCCTTCCTTCTTCCTTGCCTAGTCCCCCGCGGCTGAAGGCCGCATCGATCGCTGCCGGAGGAGGGAGTGAGGCCGCTGGCGGCTGGAGGCGGCGGTTTCTATTCCTGACTCGGTTGGGGGGTGGTGGTGTCAGGAGACTGGGCCTACCTGCAGGGGCATCCTCCGGAGTTACGGGGCCGGGAAGGAGGGGTCATTTAGGGCATGAGGATTCCCCCTAGAGAGGGATTTCAGCAGAAGCTTCTCTGGCAAAGGAACAACAGTAATCATGATTTGCTTAATTGAGTGTTTAGTATGTGCCAGGGTACTTCAGCTGCTGTAAGTGATTGATCTCAGCTATTCCTGGCACACTCTTGACAGGGCCAGGATCTTATGTCTCCCATTTTAGGGGTGAGCTCCAGTCACTTCCTCACACCGTGGGCAACTGAGTTAGGGAGCTGTAGAAGGTGGCCTCATCTCCCTTGGAGTCCCAGGTTCTTCTTAGGTGAGCTGTGGAACTTGAAACAATCATTTTACCCCTGAGGCGCAGTGTCCTTACCTGCCCACGGGCTCCTGATTCCAACCTGCTAAGTGGGTTGTGAGGGCAAAGAACATGTGCCAAAGAGCTTTGTAGAGGTTGTGAAGTCCCCACACGTGTACCTATTGTGTGGCTGCTGTGTGCCTGGTTGGGGAGAGGTTACTGGAGACTAGGGCCTGGATATGAGCCTTTGCAAATATTGTTATTAACAATAATGATAATTACCAACATTTATTGAGTACTTACCTTGGGTCAAGCGTATTCCTCAATCTCACTCAAACTGCAAATTTATCTGTTCAGTAAGTGCTACTATTATTCCTATCTCACAGATAAGAACTGCTTTGAGAGGTGTGGTGACTTGCCGGAGGTCCCATGGCTGACTTCTGAGTCCTCTAGGCCAGCACTGTCCAACACCTTTAATGTGAGCCACATATATTATTTTATTTTTTATTTTTTGAGATACAGTCTCACTCTGTTGCCCAGGCTGGAGTGCAGTGGCACTATCTTGGCTCACTGTGTCCTCCGCCTCCCGGGTTCAAGCGATTCTTCTGCCTCAGCCTCCTGAGTAGCTGGGACTACAGGCATGCACCACCACGCCAGGCTAATTTTTGTATTTTTAGTAGAGAGGGCATATTGCCATGTTGGCCAGACAGGTCTTGAACTCCTGGCCTCAAATGATCCACCTGCCTCGGCCTCCCAAAATGCTGGGATTACAGGCATGAGCCACTGTACCTGACCCACATATATCCTTTTAAATTTCTGATTGCAACATTTTAAAGAGTAAAAAACAGGTGAAATTACAGTTACCCCTTGAACAGTGGGGCTTAGGGAAACCACTCCTCCATGCCTAGAAAATTAGAATATAACTTTTGACTCCCCTGAAACTTAACGAGTAATACCCTACTGTTCGCCAGAAACCTTACCTATAACAAAAACAGCCGATTAACACATAAATAGTATCTACATATATCTTAGATATTCACAACATAGCTAACTTTTTCTTCAGGCTTTTGATAATTCTAGGCTACATGGTTCATCTGTAAGTTTTTTCAAATTGTCACAAATCTCCAAAAATTTTGCAACGTATTTGTTGGAAAAAAATCTGCAAATAAGTGGACAGTAGCAGTTCAAACCTGTGTTGTTTCAGGATCAACTGTATTTTTAGTAATATCTTTTATTAAATCTAAAATATTATGATTTCAACATTGGAATCAGTAAAGAAATTATTGAGATATTTTACATTTTCTTTTTTTTTGTACTAAGTCTCTAAAATCCAGTGTACTGATTTTTCTTATTGTTACACAACAAATTACCATAATTTAGTAGCTTAAAACAATACAAATTTATGATCTCATGGTTCCTATAAGTCAGAAGTCTGGGCATGGCCTCACTGGACCCTCGGGGTCTCACCAGGTTGAAGCCAAGGTGTTGGCCAGGGTTGAGGTTCTCATGTGAGCTTCAGAGTTTTCTTCCAAGCTCACAGATTGTTGGCAGAATACATTTCCTTGTGGTTATAGGACTGAGGTCTCTCTTTTCCTGCTAGCTGTCCACTGGTGATCAATCTCAGATTCTAGAAGCTGCCTACAGTTCCTGCCCCATAGGCAGTTCATAGCATGAATGCTTGCTTTCTTTTAGGCACATGAGAGTGCTGAATTCCTCTCCTGTAACCAGTCAGAGAAATATCTCGGACTTTAAAACTCTCACCTGATTAGGCCAGGCCCACCCAGGGCAATCTCCCTCCTGCCATATAACACACATTCATGGGCTCCACCTACACTTAAACAGGAGGAGATTATACAGGGATGAGGATCATTGAGGAGGGGTCATCTGAATTCTGCCTTCCATATATAAATCCAGTGTACTCATTTATTTTATTTTATTTTTTAGTTTTTGAGAGAGATTTTTTGAGATTCACCTATAGCAAATCTCAGTTTGGACTAGTCACATTTTCTGTGCTCAGGAGCCACACATGGCTCGTGGCTGCCATATTAGACAGCACAGCTCTAGGCTGGGCCACTTCAGTTTTTCCCTCGAAAGAAGAAGTTAGAGGAAGAAGCTGCTTAGTGAGCATCTTGCCCAATTCCCTCATTTGACCAACAGGGAAACTGAGCCAGATTTGCCGAGAAGCAGGTCTTCTATTTCCTGGCGTAAGAGTTTGTCTGCAGCCTTCGCTGCCCCTTAGGACTCAGGAGTTTTCCCTGGAGCTGCAAAGACAAGTTTCCAAAACTGAGAAAAGACAGACCTATTTCCCAAGGGCAGAAGAGAATGAAACCAGGATCTGGTTTCATCCCCAGATTACACAGTGAGAGGTAAATGAAGTTTTGGTGGAATTTGTGAGCCACAAGAGTGGGAAGGTGGGCATTATGGGTGGGAAGGATGGGGTATCCCTGTCCTTCGTGTATCATGGATGGGCTGTCCCCCAAATTCTCCCCCAGTCCCTGGCCAGTTTTAGCCATTTGAATCCGTGCAGTTTTACCTTCAGAGTAAGCTTGATGTTGCAGAAAATACGTAAGTGTTTGGAATTAAGTAGACCTGGATGTGACGGGCACCTTCTAAGATGTCTCCCAGTGATGTCGGCCTCCTGGGGTTCATGCCCTTGTGCAATCCCCTCCCCTTGTGTGTGGACAGGTCTTACTGATTTGCTTCTAATGAACAGAATATAGCAAAAGTGATGGGATGTCACTTCTCTGATTAGGTTACTTAAGGTTGTGACTTCCAGCTGGCTTTGATGAAGCAAGTCGCCAGGCGGGAAAGGTAAGGAAATGAGGGTGACTTCCAGCCAACGACCAGCCAGGAGCTGTGGTATTCAGTCCATTAAGTCCTCAAGGAACTGACATTCTGCCAACAACCCTGTGAATTTGAAAGTGGCTCTTTCTCTAATTGAGGCTCAGATGAGACTCCCACCATGGCCGACCCCTCGAGTGCAGTCTCGTGAAGCAGAGAAACTGAAACAAAAGACCCAGTTAAGCTGTACCCGGGTTCGTGACCCATAGCAACTGTGAGATAATAAATGTGTGTTGCTTTAAGCTGCTGCATTTGTGAAACCTTGTTACACAGCAATAGATAATGAATACACTGGGTTTGAATCCTGCCTTTGCCACTAAACTGCTGTGTGACCTTGGGCCAAGCACTTCTCTTGGATCCTTATCTTCTTCATCGATAAAATGGGAACAACACCCACCTTTCAGGATTGAGATGAGGATCAGCACATGCTGTTCCCTCTCCACGAACAACTCTTCCTGCCCTTTCTTTACCCTGCAGATCAGTTAAAATTTAATTTCGCTGCAGGAACAGAAACAGAATTACAGTGACTTCACTAGAAAAGAGTTTACTTTTTTTTTTTTTTTTTTTGGCAGGCCAGGGTAGGTGCAGCTGCTCATGAATAGCCCTGAAGACCCAGGCTCCTTGTCACTTACTCCTCCACCATTCTTATGTGACTCATTCGTGCCCACAGCTCCTCTGGGATCCTTTACCACTTTTGTGCACAGAGACTCCTGGTATGTTTTTCCTCCTGACAGCTGGTATCTTGGGCTTTCCTGAGGCTGCCAGAGCCTGCTATGGCTCCACTCAGGGAGAACCTGAAGTACCTGAGAATGTATGTGCTCCATGTATGCTTGTTTCTAGAACTGCCCTGTGGGACTTCACTGGATTTCACATCATCGCTGGCTTCTCTTCATGGTGAACTTCTGTACTCCTATAGCCATTTTTCCTGAAAACATTTCCGAAGCGTCACTGTCATATGATTCTTCATCTCAAGATTTATTTTGGGGGAACCCAACTAAGACAATCCTCAAGGACACCAGATGGCTGTTCTAGTGGCAGCAGCCATGTTCCAGGAAGGACACAGGGTAAATGGATGACAGACAAAAGGCCAAGTCCATCTCCTTAGTTAGGAAAACTATAGCTTGCCAGGAAGCCCTTCCTAATAGATTTCCCTTGCTTCTGATTGGCCAGTCTTGGGTCACACGATCATTGTTTGGTGCAAGGGAGCCTGGAGAGGAAACATATTTTTGAAATTTTAATTTACCTTTAAAATTGAAATATACTGTTCCCGTGGTAAAGTGCACAAATGTTAAGTTACAGCTGAATTTTTTTTTTTTTTTTTTTTTTACAAATGTATGTATCCATTGTGACTACCACCCGGGTCAAAATATGGAATGTCGCCGGCACTCCAAGAGCCTGGGGGTGGGGCGGGGCAAGTATTTCTAACTGGGGACATTGCCATTGGTAAGGAAGAAGGGGAGAATGGATAATTAGAAGTGTTCTACCTGGCTAGCTCCTGCTAAAACTCAAGGTCTTGATCTGGATATCATCTTCAGGAAGACTTGCCTGGTTTCTAGGCTGAGTTAGATCTCTCCCGGCCTCCCAGGCCTCTCCAGTTTGGTATATGTCATGCAACTCTCTAGCTAGGGCTTTGTCTCATCCATTAGTGCATGAGTTCTGCAAAGCACAGCCTAGAGCCTATATTAAGTGTTCAGCAAACATTTATTGAATGAGTGAGGGAGGAAAGCAAGGTTAGAGTCTGTAAAAGGAACCAGCCTCCTCGGAGACTTTTCAGAAAGCCAGTGGAGACAGGCAGTAGAGATAGAGCTGATTGGGTTGGAGCTGAACTTGGAGCTGGCACTGCATAGACCAACTCACAGAACTGCTGGAACAGGGAGTGAGTTAGCCAGGAAGCTGAGCAGGGAATCTAGAATGGGCTGTATAGATGCTGCTACCTAAAGCCAGAGAAGCCATAGTCTGTGACCTGTCACCTCCTGCCATTCCAAGGACCTAGCTCAGAACTCAGAGCTCCAGGATAGTCACAGGGCTCTTGGCAGCCAAGTCTTAACTGGCTTACCTGGGAGCTTCCTGCTGTGACCCCCTAATTTTCCTCCTGATGCCTTTGAGGAAAGAAACCTAGGGCAATACACTGTGTATCAACAGGTTTGGGCTCCAGTTGTCTAGAATTAAGTCTGGTCACTTAACTTTTTTGTGTCTTTGTGATCTTCATTTTTCAGATGTGGACACTGAATCTTCAGGTAGGAGGAGTCTTAAGTGGGAGGAATCTTCAAAGACCGATTATAATTAATTAGTATAGTCAATAGGGACGTAAAGTTTATGGTTAGACTCCTTGGGGTTGAATCCCAGCTCTAGTACTTACAAGTTGGACAACTTTGGCCAAATTAACCTCTTGGTGTTTCAGTTTCCTCATGTGTGAAATGGGGAAAAGTAATGAAGCCTACCCGATAAGGATATGAGGATTTAATGAGATTATACAAGATTATACATGTAAAGTGATTAAAATGATACCTGGTGCATGGCACATGATCTGTAATTGTTGGCTGTTGCTGCCTTGATTACTCTCAAGGGAGGAATATGGTGTGGTTTAATCCTGGCTACATCATTTCTCAGCTGGGGTTCTTGGGCAAGTCACTTATCTCATAGCCACTGTTTCTTCACTGTCAAATGGGAATAGCCTTTCTCAGGGTTATGGGTTGGATGAATGAAATGATGTTTAAAAGTGGGAGATCTACAGTAGACATTCATTACAGACTAATAACCAGAATCTGAACTAGTTAAGCTCTTACTGCGATGAATCTGTGACAAACAACCCCTGAATCTCTGTGTCTTCTTACCACAAAGATTTATTTCTCTTTGGCAAGTTTGAGGCTTGGCTGGTCTGACTCAGCTTCAGGCTTGCCTCAGGTGTCTCTCTAGCAAGACAAGTGGCTTCGGGCAAGCTCTTCTCATGGCAGAGGGCAGAAGCTCCAAGAAGGGTGGAGGCCAGGTGCGGTGGCTCACACCTGTAATCCCAGCACTTTGGGAGGCTGAGGCGGGCAGATTGCCTGAGGTCAGGAATTCAAGACCAGTTGGGCCAACATGGTGAAACTCCATCTCTACTAAAAATGTAAAAATTAGCCTGGTGTGGTAGCAGGTGCCTGTAATCCCAGCTACTTGGGAGGCTGAGGCAGGAGGATCACTTGAAGTCAGGAGGTAGAGGTTGCAGTGAGCCAAGATCGTGCCGCTGCACTCCAGCCTGGGCAACAAGACTGAAACTCTGTCTCAAAAAAAAAAAAAAAAAGAAGAAGAATGGTGGTGTTTTTCTTTAAACAGGCTACACTGTCACTGCCACCCACATCCCATTAGCTAAAACACGTCTCCTTGCCAAGCCCAAGTCTCTGGGGCAGGATGTACAATCTCCCTGAGGGAAGCCACTGTAAGCATGGGGTGGGGAGGGGAAAGGGAAAATTGTAGGCAAATAATCCAATCTACCATATTATCTGTGTTAACTATATGAAGTTATATGTAGATGGGGAAACTGAGGCCTAGAAAGAGGAAGAGAAATATCTAAGGTTGCTCGGAGTCAGTGACTCCCAGACAGTTCTCCTTCCCCTCTCCAAGACCTCATTCTATATCCATGTAGTTAGCATCTGGCACTTTTCAGTCAATGGTTCAAGCATTTGAATCCCATGGGAAGGACAAGGAGGGTGAGGAAGTAGAATTCCTTCCATCTTCCAACAGGGCAAACAGAAGCCCAGAGTGCAGAAGGATGCACCTGTCATCACACCGCAAGGCCAAGAGAACAGGGAAAGAAGATCAAGGATTCCCAAGTTGACCTCCGCAGTGGACCGCCCAGTCCCTCAGTCTTGTGCTGGATACAAGAGGCCCAGCAGATAGAGCAGGGAATTTGCCACCTCCTTCCTAGGAGGAAAGTGGGAGAGTCAGGAATCCAGCTGTCTGGGTCCAGGGAGGTCCCTTGGGATGGCTGTCATTCCCTCATTGACCCCTTCTCCCTGCAAGAAACACTCATTAAACCCTGACTGCCTACTGGACCCAGGAGAAATTGAAGTGAGTGAGGTGGAGAGAGGCCCACCATAATAATGACATCCTGACTACTTGAGCAAAATTTCCCCAAATTTGGGGCAATTTGAAGTGATCTTAGTATGTACCTGGATGCAGTGTCACATAACGTGAACTCCTGAAGTGAGAAAGTCATTCCCTTCTCAAGCCTTCTGATCACCCCAGGGAGAAAGTCTCAGCTTAGAGGTTTGCATCTTTAACCCTTTAAATCTTCATTGATTAAAACATAGACTGGCCATGTGCGATGGCTCACATATGTAATCCCGGCATTTTGGGAGGCTGAGGCAAGCGGATCACTTGAGGCCAGGAGCTTGAGACCAGCCTGGCCAACACAGTGAAAACCCATCTCTACTAAAAATACAAAAATTAGCCAGGCATGGTGGCGGGCACCTGTAGTCTCAACTACTCAGGAGGCTGAGGCAGAAAAATTGCTTGAACCGGGGAGACGGAGGTTGCAGTGAACCAAGATCGCACCACTGCACTCTAGCCTGGGCAAGAGAACGAGACTCTGTCTCAAAAAACAAAAAACATAGGCTGAGTACAGGCTTCAGGCTCAGTCTTGGCAGGTGGCTGTTGCTAGAGTTTAATAACACTATTTAATATCATTTAATCTGACATGATTTACTTTAATGGAACTGAGCTGTTTCCATTGTATTTGTTTTCGTAATTCCATTTGTGGCAATTGATCTCATTTATCTCATTTATAGTAGTGATATCAATTTTCTTTTAAAATGAATTTGTTTATACACAAAAGTGAGTCATTTAAAGAAAACATTAAGTAAATGGTGGCACAGGCAGCGTGGAGCCCATCGTGGTGCTATTTTGTAGTTATGGTGAAAATCATGAAAGAGGTGAATGACTGATGTTTGGAAAACTCTGCTAGAATATTCATTCTGGGTGGTTGGGTTGCCTGAGGGAGAGGTCAGGGTCTGCCTGAATTGGCCTTTCTTGGTGGAGGAAGCAGCATGTACGGATTGGTATGAACGTGTTAGGAAGGGTGGGAAGCTCGTGTGGCAGTGGTGCAGGGTGCTGGCGTGATACAGAGGCCTTCCTCCGAGGTCAGGCTATGGACTTTGACTCCCAGGGGGAGAATCCAGGGGCAGGGAAGTGGACAGCAGGCCAGTGTTTATCAGAAGGCTGGAACCACCGCTAGTAGAGATAGTGCTGTCCGGCGGGCAGGGCCCCAGGCCTCCCATCGTGAACTCTTTCCGTTGGTCCCCAGCTTAGGTGCAGAGCCACGGATCCTAAATCAGAATTAGCCTGAGGAGGGAGAAAGAAAGGGTTAATTCCTTCCCATAATAGGGCTCTGGTTTCTGGCCTTGGTCTCCCATCCATGCCCGACCAGCGCAGCTCTGGTTGCCACCAAGGCTGGACTCCTCCGCCCCCTTCAAAAGGGCAAACGGAAGCCTGGAGCAGTTTAGGGCTGTTGTCCAGATGCCACAGCAAGATCAAGAAGAGAACCAAGGACTTCCAGGTCCTCTGTTATCCTAGCAGGACTCCCCCAGCCCCTATCCAATTCCCCAATCCTAGCCACGGGAGGCCCTGACTTCTGGGGAGGCATGCTGTTACGCTTGCAGCAGTGAAGAAAGTATTAGAGCTGGGGCTCGGAGAGGGAAGGCACCTGCCCCGGGTGCCCAGGAGCCACACCTCTGGCAGGATCTCGGCAATCCCGGCCACAGGCGCTGTGGCAGCATCGCTTTTTGCCCGAGCAGTCTGAGTCCTTGTGACACAGGTGGTTCATGGGGCTGAGGCAGCGCAGTTGGTCCTGTGGGCAGCTGCCCGGCTTCACTGCAACACAGGGAACTGGGTGAGCTCTGCCTGTGCCCACCGGCCCTGGAGCTTGGGGCTTGGGTGGTCAGCAAGGTAGACAGGGGCATTTACCAGAGACCCTGGGGATGCACTGGCGGAAGCAAGCTCTGTAGCAGCACTTCCTGGTCAAGGGACACTGGCTGTCTTCCACGCACTGGTCAGGCACCGATAGGAGGCACGGCCCATCATCTGCTGGACAGCCTCCCCATTTCTCTGTAAGAGAATCTCCCAATATTGCAGCTGGAGGAAGCTCACGGTTATGTAATAAGCACTCACCTGGGAATGACAAGATCTGAATTCTCCATCCCTTGCTTCTTGCCTGTCTTCTGGCTAGTTTTTTTGTTGTTGTTGTTTGTTTGTTTGTTTCTAATGACTCCAAGCCTCAGTTTTCTGGCTGTGAAATGGGAAGCTGGGCTAGTTTGAGACTCAGATGGCACAAATGATAGGGGAAAATGAAGCCCAACCTCTCCACTGTGGCCTGGTCTGGGCCCTGCCCATCTCTCTAGCCCCATCCTCTACTGCCCTTCCACTCAGTGGCTCCAGATCTGCTCCAAGCCAGCTCTCTTTGCAGCGTTCTGGCTCTGGCTGCATCCTTTGCCTGGTGCACTTCTCCTATACTCCATTTGCCTGGTCGGCTCATTAGGACTCAGCAGATACATCACATCCTCAGAAGACTCTACTTCTCTGACCCCACATTAACTAGGTCAGCCCCCCCCCCGCCCCCAACACACACACACACACACTCAGTTCTTTCCTCCAGAGTTTGTGACGCTGCATCTGTTTGTCTGTATCCCTCACTTGGCTGGAGGTTATGAGAGTAGACACCCTGCTAGCTTTGCTCACCATTGGTCCATATCACAGCACTTGGTGCACAACAGTAGGGGCTCAGTGACTTGGAAAGAAAGGGTTTGGAAGTGAGGCCCAGCATCGCACATGCGTCAGCAGCGGCCAGCCTGGTGCACTGTCACAGCCACAGCTGGCCACGTCTGCACTGTTGCGTTCACCACTGTTGCAAATGGCATGGTTTCGAGGATCAGGCATTAACTCTATCTCTGAGGTGTTCTTCTGAATGGCTGTAGAGTGTTCTGTCCCAGAGCTTACCTAACCACTCTTCTTGCTGGGATTTTGGGCCATGTTCAGATTTCATGCATAAAGCTGGAAATCAGTATCTTCCTCCATGTAGAGGAGGAAATCAAGGCCTGAAAGGGGCAGTGACTTGCCCAGACCCACATGGGCTGGAGTTAGGACTCCCAGGGCCCGGCTCCCTCTGACCTCTGTGAGTCTCCATCCACCTTGAGATGTAGACATGGAGCAGATCCCAGGCCTTCAGTTAAATCCAGCATCAGAGAAAATGTTCAAGAGCTCCGAGGGGCAGCTGGATCTGGTGACTTTATCTCTGCGTCCGCCACTCCCCCTCAGCCCCCTGCCTGGGTGCTGGCTGCACACGTAAGTAGGCACTTTGCTCACATCCTACGTGCTCTAAGCCAACTTCAGCTGTCAGAGCGGGTTGGTTTAAATTGAATTGCTGCCCCCTGCTGGAGAAAGAAAGGCTTGGCCTGGGGAGGGGGGAAAAGTGTGGGTTTGGGGTAGTGGGAGTGATGTGAGGGCTCCTGGGAAACAGACTGAGGTCCAAGGTTTAGCCCTGAATTCGCAAGTTCAAGCCAAAGGTGCTCAGGCCTCAAAGGGTGGGCCAGACGGAGCTGCCTGCACTCAAAGCCAGTGGAGCCAGGTGCGTCAGGCAGGGAGAGTTTCTGTACCCGGGAGCCTGGGGCTGAACCTTGGGGAATGGGCAGATAGGGAGAGGGCATGACAGCTGGCATTTCCAGTGGAAGAACTGTGATAGCTGCAATGTGGAGGTGGGGTTAAAAGCTTGGTGTGTGCAGAGCCTGTGTGAGAGGCTCTAGGTGGTCACACTCACTTTGTTTGCCTGCCTTTCCTAACAGTCCCTCCAAACCAGGTTCTTCACTCACAGATGTGTACATCGAGACAGTCATACACACAGATGGTCATCTGGATGCATCCACCACGGGTGTGTAGACTTAGAGAGCAAAAGAATTGTATCCAGACATGGTTAAATATATACACTTGTACACACAGACGATACACACACATAGTCAAATACACAAGCACATTTAGATCTAGACACACAATTAGCTACGGGCTTAACAATAGGAAATTGCAGATAGTCAACTGTTTTATCTACAAAAGTAGCAATTTTACATGGTTCAACTTAATACACACATATATACATATGGACATACATCAGATAGTTTTACATATGCAATATATTTATAAACACATATATAAATAGGCAGTCACATATGTACATATGAGCTGGAACATAATCACTGTAAATACATGAGCATACTGTCATATACACATGCCTACCCACATAGATACATACACAGACACTCAGACACACACAGTTGTGTATATAAATATATAGCATATGTGTGTGAACAGAGACATATATACGCATACACAGTCATATACACAGAATCATATGCACAGGGCTACACAGACACGTATATCTTCCCAATACCACATAACTGCTGACAGCATTTAATTAGGCACTTGCTGTTTATCAGGGACTATGCCAGGATCTTTGTATCAGAGACACCCAAACGTTTGAGTGAGAAGGAGCAGAATGGGGAGCTCTTATAAACAGAGGTGGCTGGGCTTCCACAGGCAACAAACTGAGACTTCCCTTCCCTTGGCCTCGTCACCTTCCTCCATTGTCTGAAATTCTACCAGCAGCCAGGCAGATGTCTCATGGGAGAGAAACCAGTGGGGGACAAGGTGTGGTGAACTGGGGGAGAGGCAAGCGTGTCACACCTGCCCATGCAGAGTGGCCCTGTGCAGGCTCAGTTTCTGCTGTGCCAGCTCTTTACATCTGAGCAGCCAGGTTGAATATCGGGGTGTGCTCCCTAGGAACACAAGGACTCCCCCAAATCACCCACTTATGCTGTGCTTACTGTGTGCCAGGCCCTTATTCCTCGAGACACCACTCACTCCTGAGAGAGAGGCATAGGACCTCATTTTACATGGAGTAAGTCTTCAGACCTGTCCTGCTGCCTTCCGGGAGTGCCCTGTATGGAAGTCCTAATAAACTCACACACTTGCCAATCTGGCCTTATCCAAGTAATTCTTTGGTCTCTCGGCTCCTTCCTAGGTTGGGGGTGCATTCTTCTGTCCAGTCCTGGGGTTTTGCTGTAACAGTTCGTAAGGTGAATCTTTCTGATTCCAAATACCTGCATTCAAATGCCACGTTTGGCACTAACTCAGAGTCAGCCTTTGACCTTGTTAAGGGCTTCCCCACTATGCCTCAGTTTTCCTCATCTGCAAAATGGGGATAAAAATAGTCCTGTCCTCACAGCATCACACTGAGGAGTTACGTGGTGATGGTGCATGAATCACAGCCAACACAGGGTCCGGCCTTGGAGCTCACCAGTGTACTTCCTTCCTCAGCCTGTCCCCATTACTGTCCCCTTTCTTAAAGGCAGGGCCAGGGTTGCACAGGTGAATGTAGGTTAGAGTGTTCCAGCCCCAGAAGAGGATGGAAGTGGAGGCCTCACCCAGAGCAGGAGTCACCTGTCTAGTCACTCAGCGGCCCTCCCTCACCTGTCAGCAGGCCAGCCCCAGCCTTGTCAGGGGTGGGAATGGGGACAGCAGGTTGGGGTGATGAGAGCTAGAGACAGAGCTTCCTCCCCACAAAGCCCAGATCCCAGAAACCACACCCTCTCCTCAATTCCCAAGTCCTTTCCACAGATGGGGCGGTGGACCCACCGACTCAGTCACACCACAGACCAGCAGGTGCAGACAGGGTCCCTCCCCACACCTGGAGGCACAGAGACACACATGGATACACATGGACAGGCACAAGCTCAGACGTGTGCATGCAGCCATTCCTAAGTGTACGTGTGCAGACAGAGCTTTGCACAGACAGGCAGGCACAAAGACACACGTCTACACAGAGACAGGCAGGTGCATTCCCCGCCCCGCCACCCCCTGACATATAGACAGGCACAGACAAGCACTGAGAAACTGGCCGAAAAGACACTTACAGATACCAACACAAGCAGGTGGACACAAATGTACACAAATAAAAACACAGGCTTCTGAAAGCACTAAGAATCAGGCATCCACACATACACACACACACACACACACATGCACACACGCGCACACACCCCCCACAGGGAATGACCTGCCTTCTCCCAAACCCTTACTCTCCCTAGAGAAGTAGGGACAATCTGGTCCCCAGAGCAGAGGGATTTCCCGCACTCACCTCCCTTCTTCCTGCCAAAGACAGCAGGCAGCTGACTCCCCACAGCCAGGAGGGCCCCCAGGAGGAGGAGGCTCTGGATCCTCATGTTTCTGCTGCCGGTTCAGGGCCCAGGGCCCCCCAGATTAACACCTGCAGCCTCAGGGAAGCCAGAGAAACTCAGTCAGGAGAGGAAAGAGAGGGGGTGTGGAGTGACACCATGCTTGCTTCATCTTGGCCCCACCCCTGCGGGCCGGAGGCCTCAGTGCGAGGGATGCTGTCACAATTGCTGAAGATAGGGTGACGGCACATCCTGCATGTGGGGGACTCAGATCCAGTCTTGCCTGTATCGGTGACTTGGGCTGCGATCTTGGGCAAGTCTTGTCTCTCTCTGAGCCTCAGTTTTTTCATCTGTTTACCGGGCGAAGGTTGTTGAGTCAGATACTTGCTTTCCTGGCTCTCAAAGATGTTGAAACCCCAGCAATGTCTAGGCAGTGGATAGAGGTCAGCTTTGAATAGCAAAGGAGTGAGGGTTTGCAGAGTTCTGCATGCCTAGGAAGGGAGAAGGCGTTAGGGTTAGGCTAGAGTTTGCTGCCAAAGAAGGCTGGCCCAGGTTGGCATAATGAGTGAGGCCAGCCCTGGCTTCTCCTCTTGGGTCCTGTGGGTGGGAGAAAGACCACCCCACCTTTGGTGAGATCACCAGTGGCTTCTGGTAGAACTGTCCTCTTCCTGGGACTGGCTTGGCTGTTGAGGGTGGGGGAGCATGGGTTTTGGCTTGGCTAAGTTTGCTGGTCAGCAGATGCATGGCCACTGGAAACTCTTCTCTGGCCCTAAGGGATCCTGAGCAAAAAAATGTCATCTCATCCAGGGACCCCCTCCTTAGATTTCTCCAACATCTCTGATGTTGGCTCCTGCATTTGGTAGAAGAGAGGGAGCTGAGACTTGGCATCGTAAGGGACATCCTAAACAGAAACGCCATTGAAGTACATTTTCTCAGCCTTTCCATTTGAAAGACTAGGAAATTGTGAGATAGAGATGAGAGGGAACTTGCCCAAGGACACACAGCTAATTCCTGACTAAGCTAGGACTTCCCACTGTGGCCTCCCTATCATCCTCATTCAGTTCCCGGGTTTTAAAAGCAAGTCAATACCTCATCTGATCCTGAGAAAGGAGGGTGATATTACAGGGCTTGTCTCACTTACCCATTCCAATCCAGGACAGCCCTCGCAGCAGGAAGTTCTTCCTTGGGTTTAATATGAATCTCTCATGCTGTCTTCTAAGCTAGCAAGATAGGAGAGGCTCTGTCTTCTATGATCTGATGTTACTTTTGGAATGCTAGCACCTCCTTGGAAGCTTTATCTTGGAGGAAAATTATATGAGCCCTTCCTTCCTCTCTCTCTCTTTCTCTCTTTCTTTCTCTCTCTCTTTCTTTCTTTCTTTCTTTCTTTCTTTCTTTCTTTCTCTCTTCTTTCCTTTCCTTCCTCCTTCTTTCTTCTCCTCCTCCTCTTCTTCCTTCCCTCCCCTCCTCCTCCTCCTTCTTCTTCCTCCTTCCTCCTTCTTCTTCTCTCTCTTCTTCTTCTTCTTCTTCTTCTTCTTCTTCTTCTTCTTCCTCTCTCTCTCTCTCTCTCTCTCTCTCTCCCTCTCTCTCTCTCTCTCCCCCTCTCTGTCTGACAGGATCCTGCTCTGTTGTCCAGGCTGGAGTGCACAGTGCCATCATGGCTCACTGAACCCTTGACCTCCTGGACTCAAGTAGTCCTCCTGCCTCAGCGTCCTGAGTACCTGAGACTATAGGCGTGCACCCCCATATTCGGCCAGTTTTTATTTTTTGTAGAGATGGGGGTGTCTTCCTATGTTGTCCATGCTGGTCTCTAACTCTTGGACTCAAGTGATTCTATCACCTTAGCCTCCCAAAGTGCTGGGATTATAGGGGTGAGCCACTGTGCCCAGCCATGAAATGCTCTTTTTTCTTTTTATCTTTTTTTTTTTTTTTTTTTTGAGGCGGAGTCTTGCTCTGTCGTCCAGGTTGGAGTGCAATGGAGTGATCTCTGCTCATTGCAACCTCCGCCTCCCGAGTTCTAGCAATTCTCTGCCTCAGCCTCCTGAGTAGCTGGGACCACAGGCGCCCGCCACCACACCTGGCTAATTTTTTGTATTTTTAGTAGAGATGGGGTTTCACCATGTTGGTCAGGCTGGTCTTGAACTCCTGAACTCAGGTGATCCACTCGCCTCGGCCTCCCAAAGTGTTGGGATTACAGGCATGAGCTACCATGCCCGGCCAGTGCTTTTTTAATTAAAATTATTTTGTAGACATTTTCCTGTGCTATGAAATGTTCTGTAAACATCATGTTTTCTGAAGGCTACATGCTGTTTTGTTAGATCTATATGTCAAAACATCACTTCAGTAAAGTTTTTAGGGAAAAAAGATATGCCAAAATATACATAATCAGTATCCTATTATGAGGTTTCCAATTTCCCACTTTCATAAATAAAGCTGTGATAACAATCTTTCTGTGTACATTTTGGAGTCACATCTCTGACTGTTTTCTTAAAGTAAATTTGTCAAAGTTAGAAATGTTAGGTCAAAAGGCATGGTCATGTTTCCAGGCTTTGGATATATCCGGTCAAATTAAATTTCAGAAAGGAAGTGAGTGAGTGTACAAGAGCCTCCAACTGCCCTGCAATAGATGTCTATTGTTTTGTCTGCCCAGCATCTCTTTCTTTGGTGGAACCATTGCTCCCTGACTCCTGTAATTCTGGTTGGTTGCCGATCAGCAGGTACTTCTCCTATCAAAGCTGAGGGCACTCTATCCAGGTTACACCCACTGCACTCTTCCCCTGCCCCTAACTTGTCCACTCCTTCATTAGAGTCTTGAACAGAGAAGCCAGTGCTCTAAACAGAACAGTCCAAAGCTCAGATGCTGTTGCTCACAGCCAAAGATCCTTAGTGGATATACTTACTACTTACAGGATATTAAAAAAATTAGTAAATAAAATATTTGCTAATGGAAAACAGTATTTCATTTTAATTTGCCTCCCTCTTAATACCCGTGATGGTGAGCATTTCTTCATATTCACATACTGACTGTATCCTTTTTCTGTGAATTGCCTGTTTTTGTATTTTGCTCATTTTTATTGGGGAGTTCTTTTATTTTTGCATTTTAAGAGCTGTTTATATATTAAGAATCTATTAACCTGTCATATACAAGGGGCAGTATGGTGAAGTAGTGAACAGATGTATATTGGAGTTAGGCAGACCTAGTTTTCAATCTTAGTGCCATAGGCTCTATCTGTGTGACATTAATTTTGTAAAACCTCTGTTTATTCTTGTATACCAGTAGAGATAGAGATAATCATATATATTTTATACGATGGTTCTGAGAACTGAATGAGATAAGCTTGATAAATCCTTTAATGCTATATTGCAAATATTTGTTTCCTCGTTTTTGCTTAGTACCAAAGGATTAAATTTTGGGGTAATCAATCTTTTCATTCATATTTTCTCCTTTTATTTTTACGCTAAAAAGGGTTTTTGACTCTGATGTCAGATAAATATTCACTATACTTGTTATTTTGTGATTTTTGAAATACATGCTAATTCTTCAATCTAGCTAAAGTTTATCTTGGTGTAGAGCGTGAAATAGGAAATATCTTTTTTTGTAAGTAATTAAGCAATTGTCCTATGATCATTTAGTGAATAATTTAAACTTTTGCCATTAAGAATTAAAACTTTATCAATAACTTAAGTCTTGTATGTAACAGGGGTTGTTTATGGGTTTTCTCTTTTTTTTCTTTTTTCTTTCTTTCTTTCTTTTTTTTTTTTTTGAGACGGAGTCTCCCTCTGTTGCTCAGGCTGGAGTACAGTGGCGTGATCTCGGCGCACTGCAACCTCCATCTCTCGGGTTCAAGCAATTCTCCTGCCTCAGCCTCCTGAGTAGCTGGGACTACAGGTGCGTGCCACCACATCCGACTAATTTTTGTATTTTTAGTAGAGACAGGGTTTCACCATGTTGGTCAAGCTGCTCTTGATCTCCTGACCTTGTGATCTACCCGCCTCAGCCTCCCAAAGTGCTGGGATTACAGGCGTGAGCCACCGTGCCTGGCCCGTTCTTTTCTTATGACTGTTTATTCTTGTGCCAGCACAGGCGAGCATGTATTGTGGGTTCCTGACCACTGAAATAAAGAGAATATTGCAATAACATTTGGCTAGTTTTTATTTTTTCGTAGAGGCAGGGGTCTCCCTATGTTGCCCAGACTGGTCTCTAACTCCTGGACTCAAGTGATTCTCCCACCTTGGCCTCCCAAAATGCTGGGATTAAAGTGAGCCACATGGATTTTTTGGTTTTCCAGTGTATTTAAAAGTTATGTTTGCATTATAGTGTAGTCTATTAAGTGCACAATAGCATTTGTCTAAAATAAGTATACACCTTAATTTAAAAATACTTTATTGCTAAACTATGCTAATAATCATGTAAGCCTTCAGTGAGTCATAATCTTTCTGCTGGTGGAGGGTCTTACCTTGATGTTGAGGCTGCTGAATGATCAGGGTAGTGGTTGCTGAAGGATAGGTTGACTGTGGCAATTTTTAAAAATAAGACAACTATGAAGTTTGCCGCATCCATTAACTCTTCCTTTTTTCAACTTTTATTTTAGAATTAGGGGCTACATGTGCAGTTGTGATACAAAGGTATATTGTGAAAGATTTCTCTGTAGCATGCAATGCTGTTTGATAACATTTTATACACTGTACATCTTCTTTCAAAATCAGAGTCATGGCATGGTGCAGTGGCTCATGCCTATAATCCCAGAGATTTGGAAAGCCAAGGCAAGAGTATCACTGAGCCCAAGAGTTTGAGACCAGCCTGGGCAACATAGTGAGGCTCTACCTTTACAAAAAATTTAAAAATTAGCTGGATGGTGGTGCATGCCTGTAGTCCTACCCCCTTGGAAAGCTGAGGTAAGAGGATTGCTCGAGCTCAGGAGTTCAAGGTTACAGTAAGTTATGATCATGCCACTGAACTCCAGGCTGGGCAACAGAGCAAGACCCTGTCTCTGAAAACAACAACAACAAACAGTTGGAACCAATTCTCTCAAACCCTACTGCGTTATCGACTAAGTTTACATAATATTTTAAATTCTTGGTTTTGTCATTTCAGCAGTGTTCACAGCATCTTTACTAGGAGTAGATTCTATCTCTCAAAACCACTTTCTTTGCCCATCCATAAGAGGCAACTCCTCATTCATTCAAGTTTTATCATAAGATTGTAGCAATTCAGTCACATCTTCAGTCTCCACTTCTAATTCTAGTTCTCTTGCTATTTCCACCACATCTGCAGCGACGACTTCCTCAGCTGAAGTCTTGAACCCCTCAAAGTCATTCGTGAAGATTGAAATCAACTTCTTCCAAACTCCTATTCATGTTGATATTTTGACCTACTCCCATGAATCATGAATGTTCTTAATGGCAGTTAGACTGTGAGCCCTTTCCAGAAGATTTTCAGTTTACTTTGCCCAGATCCATCAGAGCAATCACCATCTGTGGCAGCTATAGCCTTACGAGATGAATTTCTTAAATAATAAAACTCGAAAGTTAAAATTACTCCTTGATCTGCAGAATAGATGTTGTGTTAGCAGGCATGAAAATATTAATCTTCTTGTACATCTCTATCAGAGCTCTTGGGCGATCAAATGCATTGTCAGTAAGTAGAAATATTTCAAAAGGAAAGTAGAAATCTTTTTTTTTTTTTTTTTTTTTTTTTGTGAGCAGTAGGTCTTAACAGTGGGCTTAAAATATTCAGTAAACTATGCCATAAACGGATGTGCTGTCATCCAGGCTGTGTTGTTCCATTTTTAGAGCATGGGCAGAATAGGTTTAGCATAATTCCTAAAGTCTCTAGGATTTTTGGAATAGTAAATGAGTATTGGCTTTAACTTAAAGTCACCAACTACACTAGTCCCTAATAAAAGAGTCAGCCTGTCCTTTGAAGCTTTGAAGCCAGGCATTGACTTCTCTCTAGCTAAGAAAGTCCTAAATGGCCTCTTCTTCCAATAAAAGACTGTTTCATCTACATTGAAAATCTGCTGTGTAGCGTAGTCACCTTCATCAATTATCTTGCGTAGATCTTCTGGAGAACTTCCTGCAGCTTCTCCATCAGCACTTGCTTTACTTTACACTTTTGTGTTATGGAGATGGCTTCTTTCCTTAAATCTTGTGAACCGACCTCTGCTAACTTCAAACTTCTCTTATGCAGCTTCCTCACCTCTCAGCTTTCATAGACTTGAAAGAAGTTAGGGCCTTGCTCTGGATTAGGCTTTGGCTAAGGGGATGCTGTGGCTGTTTTGATTTTTTTATCCAAACCACTAAAATTTTCTCCATATTAGCAATAAATCTGTTTCACTCACCATTTTTGTGTTCGCTGGAGTCGCTGTTTCAATTGCCTTCAATAACTTTTCCTTTGCATTCGCAAGTTGACTAACTGGTAAAAGAGGCCTAGCTTTGGACCTATCTTGGTTTTCAACATGTCTTCCTCACTAAGGTTAATCATTTCTAGCTTTTTTTTTTAATTTAAAGTGAGAGACGTGACTCTTCCTTTCACTTGAACACTTAAAAGCCACTGTAAGATGATTAATTGGCCTCATTTCAGCATTGTTGTGTTCCAAGGGAGAGAAACAGGGAATGGCCAGTTGGGGGAGAAATCAGAACATATCCCACATTTATCGATCAAATTCACTGTCTTATATGGGCACAGTTTATTGCACCCTGAGACAATTAAAATAGTATCATCAAAGATCACTGACCACAGACCAACATAACATATGTAATAATAATGAAAAAAATTGAAATATTGTGAGTATTACCAAAATGTGACACAAAGACACATAGTGAGCATGTGCTCTTGGAAACATGGGCTGATGTACTTGCTTGGTGAAGGGTTGCCACACACCTTCAACTTGTAAAAAATGCAATGACTGCAAAGCACAATAAAACAAGGTATGCTTGTATTGTGATTGTAATTGTTGTAGCTCCGTAATATGTTTTAGTGACTGGTGGTATCCATTACCCTTCATTAGTCTACATTTTCAATTTTCCAGGTTACAAGTATTTTATTGTTCCGTGTGAACCTAATGATCATTTTTTTAAGCTGCAAAAATAAACTCATTGTTTTTATCATAAAAAGTTTTCAAAAACGCACAAAAGAACAGCAAATACTTTTATGGAGCCTACATGCTCATCATCCAGATTCAACAATGAGCCATTTTACAACAATTCCTTCATGCAAATCCCCACCCCTTTTTTGACTGAAGTATTTTAAAGTAAATCCAACCCATCTTATATTTTACCTTTAAATACTCCAGTGTGCATCTCTAAAAACTAAGGACACTTTCTCACACAATCACAATACTACTGTCACACCTAAGAAAATTAACTGCAGTTTCTTAACATCATCTAACATTCTATTTGTATCCTGTTTTTCTTATTGTCTGAAAAATGACTGTATGGTTGTTGGTGCACACATTGCATTGGCTGTAATGTATCTGAAGTTTCTTTTAATCTAGAGCAATCCCTTCAACTCTTTTTTATCCTGCTTTCCTCCCTCCTCCTTCTTCTTCATGCTTTTGATTTGTTGAACAAAACAGACAAATCGTTCTTTAGAATGTCCCATGTTGCTTCCCCGTGATGTCTTCCATCTTTTTTGTCCTTCATGTTTCCCATAGACGAACGCTAGCTGTAGAGGCTTGGTGAGGTTCATGCTCAACTGTCTTGGCAGGAGCCCTTCTTGAATGATGCTGTGTGTTTTGTGTTGCATCAGCTCAGGAGGAACAGAGGTCTGGCTTACCCATTTTTAGCATTGTGGAGACAGATTAATGTGTTTTAGGCGTGTACCTGAATCCTCATGTTGTAAACTTGTGTTTCCCCTCTTACGAACTGTAAATATACCACGGGGTGATGAAATGGCACCCTGTAAATATTCAGAAGCCATGGATGATCATTGCCTGAATCAATTATTTCATTAGGATTTGTGAAACCCAATGGGTTTTAATTTTAATTATATTTCAGGCATAAATTATGCTGACCAAGATGAACATTTTGTGGAGGCTTCCTGCTTGGGGAAGAGCATATCTTTTAAAAAACATTTATTTGTTTGTTTGTTTATTTATTTATTTGTTTATTTATACATATGGTAGAAAAGTTTAGTCTATTTATCCAGATCTTTTAAAATGTCATTTAATAAAGTTTTAGGGGGTTTTTTTGTTAGAAAATTTCTGTACATCTCTAGATATGTTTATTTGTAGGTATTTTATATTTTATTCACTTTGATAATGTTGAATTGGATTTTTTTAACTATTAGGTTGTCTTAACTGGCTTGGGTTGCTATAACAAATTACCATAGACTCGGTGGATTGTAAACAACAAATATTTATTTCTTACAGTTCTGGAGGCTGGGAAGTCCAAGATCAAGGCACCAGCAGATTCAGCATCTAGTGGGGGCCAGTTTCTCATCTCATCTCATCTTCCTGGGGTCTGGACTTTCTGTGACTCTTCCCTCTATTTAGGAAAAAGGACTTCAAGCTCGGGTTTTCTTTGCTGGGGTTCAGTATTGCTTCTTCCATATTCCAAGTCTCAGGACCCTCAGGGGCAGGTACTGGGTGAGAGTGACCCCCAGAGGTGGAAAGGACCCGGCATCATTTCTGAGGACACCCAGTGGAGGAGGAGCCTGGAGACTTGGCCTCCCATCCTGGCTCTGGGCATGGCCCTGACACGTCTTCATCCTTGTTTCCTCCTTTGTACAATGGAGATGTTCAGACTAGTTGGTCTCCGAGGGCCCTGCCATCTTTAGCCATCCCTCCCCAAACCAGCTAAAGAAACTAATTCCTCTGAAGTTTCATGGGCCAGATAGAGGCAGGGGAAGGCACAGCCCCAGCCCTGGGAGGCGGGTCTCCTTACCTTCTTCCAGTTTCTTCACAGGAATCACACACTTGAAGCCACAGTGCAGGTAACAACATTTCCTTTCCCCCAGACAGTCCTGGTCTGTGTGACACTGGGGAGGATCGGACTTGAAGCAGCGTATGTTGTCAGCTGGGCAAACCCCTGCTTTTTCTATACTTAGTGGAGGAAGCCACAAGGTGAGGTGAGAACTCCAGCCCCAGAGGGCCCCTCAGAACCTCTTCCCAGCCCAGCCCCACCCAGCTCCACCATGCCTGCTCACCCCCTTTAACTCCTTCCGCAGCCACCAGGGTCACAAGAGCGAGAGACACCATGAGGACCAAGAAGCTGCTGGACCCCATGTTGCTGGGCAGGTACTTGGCTGGGAGCTGGGCTGAGCCTGGCTTTATAGTGTCCCTGCTGGGCGTGCCAGTGGGTGGAGCTGAAGGCTCAAAATGGCAAGGGAGGCTGCACTTCCCAGCTCTATTTGGAAATGGCCACTTTTGAGGAGGGACTTGGGGCTTTCCCTAAGGTCTCCTCACTGGAATAGATGAAGAAATCAAAGAGCGACCCTCATTCTTCACACAAGGAGAAGAAATGGCCACCTGATTGACCATTAGGCACCACCAGGGCCAAACTGTCTTATGGAAAGAGGAAAGGAAGCACAGAAAGGGCATGAAATTACTCAAGTTCACACACGAGGCAGTGGCAGGGCCAGACTTCCTCAACCCCACTATGTTCTCTAACAGTCCCTGTTCATGGCTGATTCACCTGGGACCAAAATCTTCCCTCCTTCCTGTGTTGCCCCGGATTTGTTCTCAGTTCTCTTCTCACCCCAGGGAAGAATCTGAATGGCAGTGCTTAAAATGTCTGTCCTGAACATTCGCTCTCAGCCTTGCGTTCCAGCCCTGTGTGCTCCTGCCCCCACCAATCTCATGTGGCCTGGAGGAAAGCAGATTTTGGACCTGTCACCAGCTGTGTAACTTTGAAAGCAGCTTCACCTTCCTAAGCCTCCGTTTCCTCATTCATACGATGGGCATCATAATTATACTGTATCGCCTTCATAGGATTTGTTTTCCCTCCTTTGCCCCTGCATCCCCCCAAATTCCTGGATTTGGAAGAAGACATGTATGTGTGTGTATGTGTGTGTGTGTGTGTGTGTGTGTGTGTCTGTGCGTGTGTGTCTGAGACCAGAATTTTGGAGTTCTTTCTTTGAATGGGCACTAAAGAGAGGGAAATCCTTCCTGTTGGAAAAGTTGCAGATATGAGCCCAGAAACTCCAGAAATTTGGTCCCAGCCCTGGTGAGAGAGAAATTCTGAGAAGATAAATCTAAGTTGCTGATAAGAAGACATGAGAGATAGGCAGGGAGTAATTTTAAGGAAATCTAGTCCTTTACTAACCTTTTTCCTGAGATCAGCCCCACTCATACTCAGGGTTAGGTTACCACCCAATAAATTCACCTTTCTGGCTAAGCTGGTCTGAATTGGATTTCTGTCATTTACTAATAGGACCTCTGAGTAATGCAAAGATTTGGATTTGGTGCGTTCCACATACCAAAGTGTGGAAGGGACTGAGTTGGGGTTAAGTGGAGGCAGGGGAGGATCCCTCCATTCCTGGAAGTGAGCCAACTCCTCATTAGATGGTGAATCTTTGGTTATAATCTCACCAGTTGTATCCTTGAGCTCAGATCACTTGGATACCAGGGGTGGAGTCTGGGAAGTTAATAAACAAATACTAGAATGTTGGAATATATTGGCTATTGTCTCCTCCAGCTTTTTATTATGAACTTTTTAAACATACAGAAAAATTGAAATATCAGAACAATGATAACTTGTATACCTACAACTGGACTTAACAATTATTAATATTTTGGGATATTTTAGAATACCTATAGCTACATTTGCTGAAATATTTGAAATGAAATCAAATACATTATGTTCCTATTTCCTAAATACATCAGCATGTGAATTCTAAGAATAAGGACTTTCTTCAATATAATCACATAGCCATGATCCTATCTAAGATAATTAATAGTTTCTGCATGTCACCTCATAGCCAGTTCATATTCGTTTCTCCAGTTCTCCTCAAAATGTCGTTTGTAGTTGACTGTTGATGATACTTCCTTTAAAATTATTGTAAAATAAATCCTACATATAAAAGAATGTAATAAACTTTCTATACCTTTTGAAAAAGAATAAACACCTATGAACCTATCAATTTAGAATAGGACATTACCATCCCTACTTCAGAGGTAACCACTATCTTGAACTTTCTGTTAATCATCCTCATGTTTTCCTTTAAAGTTTTGCTCTCTTGCTATGGCTTGCTTAATGGTGCATGTTGTTTAACTTTATGTAAACATAATTACAGCCTAAGTATTCTTTTGTGTTTTGCCTGCTTTGCTCAACACCGTGTTTTTAAAAATATTGTGGTAAGAAATATATACTATAAGACGTGACCTCTTAACGTATTTTTTTTTTTGAGATGGAGTCTCGCTCTGTCACCCAGGCTGGAGTGCAGTGGTGTGATCTCAGCTCACTGCAAGCTCCGCCTCCCAGATTCATGCCATTCTCCTGCCTCAGCCTCCTGAGTAGCTGGGACTACAGGCACTCACCACCACGCCTGGCTAATTTTTTGTATTGTTAGTAGAGACGGGGTTTCACTGTGTTAGCCAGGATGGTCTCGATCTCCTGACCTCATAATGTGCCCGCCTCAGCCTCCCAAAGTGCTGGGATTACAGGTGTGAGCCACCATGCCCGGCCCCAAAATATTTTTAAGTGAATACTACAGTGTTGTTAATTATGGGCACAGTGTCATACAGTAGGTCTCTAGAAGTTTTCTGTCTTGCATGACTGAAACCCACTGAATAGCAACTCCCCATTTTCCCTCCCCCAGACCCTTGGAACCACCATTCTGTTTTCTGCTTCTATAAGTGACTACTTTAGACACTTCATAAAAGTGGAATCATGCAGTATTTGTCCTTTTGTAATTAGCTTATTTTGCTTAGCATAATGTCCTTAAGGTTCACCCATGTTGCAGCATGCGACAGAATTTTCTTCTTTTTTATGGCTGAATAATATTCGATGGTATGCATATATATATGTGTGTGTGTGTGTGTGTGTGTGTGTATAAAATCTTTTTTCCTTCCCCCATTTGTCTGTCAATGGGTCAATGCACATTTAGGTTTCCATTTCTTAGCTATTGTGAATATTGCAGCAATGAACTTGCAGGTGCGAATATCTCTTTGGGATCCTGATTCAAATTCTTTTGGATAATAACCCAGAAGTGGGATTGCTGAATCATGTGGTAGTTCTATTTTTAATTTTTTGAAGAACTTCCATACTGTTTTCCTTAGTGGCTATACTCCTTTAAATCTCACTGCCAGTGCAAGAGTTCCGATTTCTCCACATTTTCACTGGTACTTGTTTTCTTTTTCTTTTCTTTTTAAAATAATGGCCATCCTAACAGGTATGAGGTGATCTTATGGTTTTGATTTGCGTTTTCCTGATTATTAGACATGTTGAGCATGTTTTCACATACCTGTTGGCCATTTGTATATCTTCTTTGGAGAAATGTCTGTTTAAGTCTTATTCACCTTTAATTGGGTCTTTATATATATGTGTGTGTGTGTGTGTGTGTGTGTATATATGCATATGCACACACATATATATAAGGAAAAAGAAAAGAAATATGTATTAGAATTGAAGAAGAGAAAAGCCATTGTTTGCAAATAATACAATAGTCCAATAGAAACACAAAAGAAACTACAGATATATCATGACAGTTAGACAATTTTTTCAAGATTAACTGACACAAAATCAATATATGAAAGTCAACTGCATTTCTATACACTAGAAATATTGGTTAGAAAAATGTAATACTTGAAAAGCACTAACATGTAAAATATCTAGTAATAAAGGCAACCTGTGAGATGGGAAAAATATTTGCAAACTACATACCAGATAAGGGGTTAATTTTCAAAATATATAAAGAACTGCAACTCAATAGCAAAAATAAGTTTACGCACATACATATATACATAGCAAAAATATGTTTATATATTTATATATATAAATACATTTAGGCTTACAATTAGGCTTACATTTAGGCTTACATTTAGGCTACATTTGTCTAGGAAGCGAGCCCCATAAGGAACTTCTCATAGTCTTATTATAAGAAGGTAAAATTGCAGGGGACAATGTTCCTGTTTTGCAGTAGTAAATTACCTTCTCAAAAGGTGGTTATTTTGTCCACAGGGGACTTTGGCAATGTCTGGAGACATATTTGGTTGTCACAACTGGGGCAGATGTGCTTCTGGCATCCAGTGTCTAGAGACTGAGGTTGCTGCTAAATATCTAACAATGCACTGGACAGTTTTTCACAACGAACAGTGATCTGTCTCCAAGTGCCAGTAGTATTGATGTTGAGAAACGCTGCTGTCCTGCCTCACTGACTCATAGCTGTGCATGGCCTCAGAACACCTCAATGTAGGCTGAAGCGAGTAATGATGGGAGTGTCTGCTGGGAGTATCCCATGCTTAGGAGTGCTGATCCTTGGCTCACTGGTTTCACCCAATAAAGGCATTCCTTAGCTCATGCCATGTGACCTTGTGGAATTCATCCCATGTTCTGCTGAATCAGGCAAATAAAGTTCCCTTTTAATTCTAGTTAGCTAAGAGTTTTTCTCATGAAAGGATGTTGAATTTTTATCAAATGCCTTTTTCCTCATCAATTGAGATATATCTATGGATTTTCTTTTCAACCTGTTATTTTGTGAATTACATTAACCGGATGTCACGTTCATTGTCTTTTTTGGGCATCATTTATTTATATGCTTCAAGAAAGTGGAAAGCCTTGAACCAAAATGGCCTGGCCTAAAACAGACAGAGAATATAAGGAAAGATATATTTCTAGTAAACATGGAATATACATTCCTGAAAATCGTTAGGTTACAGAGTTTTGCTTGCTACAAATAATAGGGCTTCTAGAAAAAATAGAGTTGAAGTAGAACATTCAAAACTTGTGAAGTCTCATAAGTAATACATCAGACAAACAGAACCCACACCCAATAAAAACATGGCCACAGTTTTAAACATCTTCAGTTCCTAATAAAGAAATTCTGTAGTAAATACAGCACTTTACTTTGACAAAAGATGGGGAGTTTGCTTGGTAAGTGGGTATGGTGAAATACTGTGGCTTTTGGGGTATGCACAAAAGGCGGAATGAAGGACATCATCGTTCTTGGGACTAAATGTTGTTATACGGGAAGTCATTGTCTTCTATCTCTTACTTCTGTACTGGCTTAAAATAGCAATCTGCTGTATTGATTTGTCAGTTCCTCCCTTTTGTAAGGAAGCTGTATAACCTTGGATGAAACTG